ACGTTATTCTGGGGTAATCTGCGGTTAAGACTTCTCTGCTACCCACTTAAATCCATCTTCATCTCCGTCCAGCCATCAATAAAACAGCCGCGGTTTAATTACTTTTTGAAAAGTTGTGTCCCATTTTCTTTACCTTTCAAACATATGTACAAATAGATTATTACCGCTCAATCTCCCTTCAAGCTTGATTTTTACTTCCACGCCATCTTGGACATGTAAATAGAGTGTGTTGCGGATCATCTCTATTTTTGAAGTACTTAGTTGTCACTTTATCGTTTTTTAAACCACATGAGGTAGACTATAAAGCACGCATTTCCCGTCAATGCCTGTATTAGAAATTACCTAGTCGGTATGACGGTGCTTACACTGTACCCACGCTCTTATGTCTAGAATCAGGTTTGTCCATTATGCTGCCGTCCTCCGAATCAGACCACTCCTGCTGTCAGATTTTTAGCGTTTTATGCCTATTCTGATTTTATCTATGCTTGTCCAACTCCATATAACTGTTTCCATTGAACCACTAACAAATGAGTAGGGATGCACAGCTTGTAATACTTTTAGTTATATTCTATCTAGGAGTTACCTGTACGCCTTCACTTTTATTGTATCCGCCCACACTGGTGCCACGTACAGTAGGATTGACAGTATTACTCCCTTTTCTTCAACTAGTGTTAGAAACTATAATCTAGCAAGGCCTTTACACAGGCACAGGATGTAGATTGATGTTTTATCTTTTTCTTTAGAGAATCTGCACAACGTTGCTTCTTCTACTGTATTGACGACATCCATGTGCCTTTTAAGGCGACAGTGTCTGATAAGAAATCTACCATTATCCTAACGATTTGTGGTTTTTGATCTAGTAGCTATATCGTAATCTTGGCTGACGACGGTTTCTTAATAAACTGGTTGACCTGTTTTAATCCTGGATAGTTATTTTACAATTTCTGGGACTTTTTAGATCAATTGTTTGATTGGTACCTTGTATATTGCCTTAGCAACTCCACAGACGGATTTGGGGACTGATATGGCCATATATCAGCCTTCTCAGGCTAGTTCGTTAAACTTTGCATAGCCTTCGTGGCTAAGATCACTTTGTTTTAACTACTTAGCTATGTCACATCTTTTAGAAAATCTTACCAGTCGTGACTTGATTTCCAAGAGGATTATGTTCAGAGCTGATTAACTATTAGAGGAGATGGCAGTAGTTTTTCCTGATACTTGCTGATTTATATTTTCTCTTGCAGTGTTGTATGACTACTACTTTGGCCTGAAACACTGTTGCTTAGTCTCCTAGACTTAGAAAAATCATTGTTTTTGACTTTGGTCTATATATTCCAGCACCATCGCCTTTCGCCTGTATGGAGAGTCTCTGATTCCAGGATTCTCGAGCTAGTCTTTAAATTTCTTTTAAATTTATATGTGGTTAGAGCTAGATCAGTAGGCATTCATAGAATCTAATCCTTTTTAGTAGGTAATGGGCTACTTGGAGCCTCTCCACCACTCCACATTTTACCAGCCTTTTTTCGACGTTTTTCTTATAGTTATAAGATTAAAATAAAATCAAAAGCGCTAAAAACGTCGAAAAACGTCAAAAAACGTTGAAAAACCTCGAAAAGCGTCAAAAACCGTCGAAAAACAACTGGTAAAAAGTGAAGTGGTGGGAGCGCTCCAAAGTGGCACATTACCGACTCTATTTTACTTGCAGGTATATGCTTGTAAAGTTAGCTTATTGGGTTTTGTCCCTGCGTTATCTTGTGAATAATGGAACTGATTTCTCATTTAATAAAGATGTGCAGTGTGCACAGTACCTACATTGCTGCAGGCGGTGTAGTACTGTTGGCCCCTGTGGCACTCAGAAGACAGACGAACCGCTGAATGTCTAGTAAGTCGAGTCTAGTATCTACTTTTTTGACAATTATCGACAAGTCTTACATTTTTAATGAAAACAAGGAATATTACATTAATTCTGAGGTAAACAAACTTAAAGGAAAAATTATGTTTTGGTGAAAAATCTCAAATTAATCTTGAATATTTTGAAAATTTAAAGGACTCATACTTTTGTGCAAACCTCGTACATTTTGTTTAGCTCGACCATATTTAATTAACCCATCATGGATATTCCATTACTTCATCCACTATGAATTTTCCACTGCAATAAAAATACTCCATAGCATACAAACAGCAAAACTATATACACAATATTTGTCAGTTGATATCGAAAATAATATTGTCCATGACATTTAATCAACATTTTCGTTTTTGGACAAAGCATCAACGTTTTCGACCGAATGCAGCTTTTTAATTATTTATAATAGTTCGCTTCATAAATTAGATACAAATTACGAATGGATTGACAATGCATTTCTAGAGCAATCGAGTGTTTCGTAATGATGGGTTAATCACGATATAGGCTACAAAATACTCTTGCATGGTTTAGTAGAAAATGTGAGGCGATCCACAAAAAAATGTTTTTAAAGTAGGCGTTAGGTATTTTGTTTTTTAACCCTCTGTGTACCGATGATACCAGTAAGTACCAGTGATTTTAGTGCACTCAAGCACTTATTTTCTTTTCTGATTGTAGCGACAAAAACAATTTATTGAAGGTAAAAAAGTACCCTTGCAATTATATTTCCTAATACATTGCAAAACAGTTTTTAAGTAGTATTTAAGTAGTACGACCTCACATATTTCTAATACAGTAAGGCTAGTATTAATTCATTAAGTATCTGTTGTACTTTTTAACAGTTTTGTTAAAAATTAAACGAATAAAATAAAAATTAAAAATTTTTAATTTCATTCAAACAGTTCCATTTAAAAATAATAATGACACTCTTATAATTTTGACCATTTTGTATAAAATCATTTAAATGCCAAGGTGATAAAACGATTGCTTGATCATTTTCTTAACAGCCCCTATGTATGATTTTATTTGTTTAGTGCTAGACTTATTTTTAATAATAAAATTGAAAAATCTGATAATGTTTGTCCATCCGTAATGTTTAAATCCATCCACACTCCAGACTATTTCGATCAGTAGGCAACAGCAGGTTGCAAAGTGTATAATTTATGGTACATTTTCATTTGTGGACAGCATTGCTGGAAATGAAGGACAAACAATATGTGCATCGCGTGTAGGAGCAAAAAGAGAACGTTTCAGTATTAACAATTTTTTACTCCCAATTCAACCGGCCACCTAAAGTACCTTAATAGTAAATTTAAGACAAAATCAGTTATAGAATTGTGTTCCAAAGATAGACCTGTGTAGCGCGAATGCAGGTGGTCAATATGAATGTCTGTAAACAAGGGTCTACGTGACAAGAGTCATGTACGCCAAGCAACTCCGGCGTGAAAAACAAAAGGCTAACTAATTTAGATGACGTAATCATATGTCTATCTCTTTCTTTAAAACAACATAAATCGACAGAGAGGTTCATGCTTTCATGAAATAAAGATCGGCTCTCACCAGCATCATAAAAATTATTTTATGTTATATAAAAATCACTTAAGTTCTCTGAGCAAAGATAGTACATAAAACAAAATGTGAAGTCCTAATGCAGTATTAAACATGTAGGTAGTTGTTAAATAAAAATAATGTAAATATGTTCAAATTTGAAAGTTGTCGTGCAGCATTCTTGCACAATGAATTGTTTTTTACAAAGTGATGGAATTTCATTGTCCATATGAAGATGGTTGCAGCACCGACAGGAGACAGTCCATTTGGTAAGCGCACCTTAGGGCCGTACTTAAAATTTATGTTGGATTTAACTGTTAGAAACCTACAAATCCAACAAATGGTATTTGCTACCAAAATTTAAGGATATTCAGATGATCAATGTTTATTTTTCCCTTCCTAAGTTTCCCAAGTTTCTCAAGAGTAACCTGTAAATATACCATTAAAAGCTATAGCTTAAATATAAAATTTCAAGCATCTTGTTTAAATAGGAAATTCCTTGCAGAAACGCGAAATGTCATATTATCTTTTTTAAATGCGTAATTTCGTGTTCAAACACAAAAATTTTTTTCAAACATGAAATTTCAGAAATAAAAAAATATGTGGAGTAATGTGCGACTAAGTACCTTCTGTTCAAGTGAATGCAGGGCTTCCCATAGGAAGGAGTACATACACCCCTCCTCTGGCCAGTTCTAGTGGACGAACTCATAAAAAGGCTAATATCTGCAGACTACTACTGCGTAGGGTATGTCAAAGAACTGATCATCGTCGTAAGAGGCAAGTTCGCAGTTAAAATATTGAAGCGCACACAAACCGTTCTAAACATTGTTGACGAGAGGTGCAGAAAAAAGAAACTAACAGTAAACCCCCACAAAACCACAATAGTCAACTGCACAAACCGAAAATTACTGAGAGGACTAAAGTCTTATTTATACGCGTGTGATATAGGGCACTTTCCATAGGACTATATAATGTGATATGTGTCACTTTCCTAAGTGGTCGTAGGAAAAATATATTTCCACAAAACCCGACGTTGGCATTTTTTTATGTGTTCCACACAAAACCATCTTTTTTCATGTTCCGTGGGAAAACTTATCAAGGTCCTTGTAGTTTCTTGATGCAAGGTGGTCATCTCGAAGAAAAATATTTTGTCACATTTATGTATTCATTTTAAAAACTTCTTTAGTTATTTTTTCACAACTATTAGTTACGTTTTTAGTTTGCTTATATACAAAATACTATTTTCAATGCTAATATAGAGGGTGCACCCCATTTAAAAAAAAAACATACTAGAAACTTTAAAAATATGCTCTGAAAATATAAAATCTCCTAAGTGCTTTTGGCGCTACAATTTATTATACCAATAAAAACTCCCAGGCCGGATAATTTTTCTTCTATGGTAAAGTGAGGAATTGTAAAAGCTAGACAATATTATTTTACGAGTTATACAATATTCTACTTAATATTTTGCGCATATTGTCCTTCACTTGGTACCAATGATAATTGCAGCAATAGTAAGTAATTGAATAAAAAACAAATACGAACTTACCACAATTGTCCGAATATCCAGAAACCCATCACTTCGTTGGCCAACGAGAACGGCATGATAATCAACCCGAGCAAAAAGTCCGAAACGGCCAGCGAGGCTATAAACCAATTTTGTATGTTCTTTAACGCCTTTTCGGTGGCGATCGCAATAATGACCAACATATTGCCCACGACGACGGCAATAATGAGCAACACGACCACCGCGGAGGCGATGACGATTTGCGGAAGCGTATAACCGCTCGGATAGTGTGCGACGGCCACCGTATTGTTCGAAACGTTGCCGCTACTGTTGCTGTCGTATCTGTAGAGCACCTCTTCCATGGCACTCGCAAATCTTGCTAATGTTGAATTTTCTACTGCCATTTAAGGTCTGAAAATAAAATTAATGCATCAAATTTGTCCTACAAATTAAATTTAATTATAAATATACAGGGTGGTCTGCGATATTCGACATCTTGTATACAGGATAAATCGTATCGTTTTTAAAATTATTTATTAAAAAGAATAATATTATACTTTATCTTCAAAAAGAATACATGATTTCATAAAGTTAAATAACTTCGATGTTAATTAGAGATCGCATTAGGCAATTGCGGTCCCGTCGCATTTCGGGCTGTGCTAATGCAAATGATTCATAATTTTAGGACTTTCATAGATTACTGAATTCTTATTCATATCATTTGTGGGGGTAACCTTGGAAGTTTTTTTATTAATAGGAAAAAAAGTACTTTTAATCCCACAATTATATATGCTTATTGCTACAAAAAATGTTTTTTATGTTACATTTTTAAAAGTGTTCTCTTTACTTTACTCTGTTGAAATAGAGGATATGGTGAGTTTTGCAACATAAATGTTCTATTTGTTCATCATTATTAACTCTTCTTCTTTTTAAATAATCAATCGTACATTTTTTTAATAGGTTTAGAATAATCTAGTTTTGGTAATTTTCAACTAGCTTTACCTTTGCTAGTTAGATATATTATATGTATTTAAAATAAAAATTTGTTAAAATTTTAAATTAGGTTCCAATATAGTTTTCTAACTAGGTACCAATATTATTTCTAAATTAGGTTTTAATATGGTTTTTAAACCAGTCTCAAAACCAAATAAATACCAGAGCCTGGGGGAGGATTCGAATCACATAGAATTTAAATCCTGGGATTCGAATCCTTTTTGAGGATCCGCGAGCGGTATTCGAATACTAAAGTAAAAAAGGGCCCGTGATCCGGATTCGCCGAGGAAATCCTTAACGATTCGTATTGGAATTACCAATATTAGTCTTGGATCCTTTTAGAGACCAAACTACGTTGGCGCAAACGGTCGACTCGCACTTTGACTTGTCGCGAAGTGTAAACTGAAACAAACTGAGACTGAAGACCGTTTGTTAATATTTAGAAGGTAATCATAACAATCTACAAATTAATGTCAAAGAAGGCAGCAGAGCACCTAGACAATTTTGAGTTGAAATCTATGCCACACTTTTAGGCTATTTTAAGACTATTTGGTTCTCAACTAGCTTCGAACGAAGCCAGCAGAGCACCTCGGTTTTTTAAAGCTTTTTCTAAAAAAAAACCACACTGCATTTTAAGGCTATTTTTAGGATCTTCAAATATTTTAAAACTTTATCAAAAACTGCTATTTTTCAATAATACAGGATGCTTTGTTGGAACAAAGTTAGCAGAGCATCTCGGTTTGTTTTTTTATGGAAACATCTACTTATGTCACAGGTTTAAGCTATTTTTAGGCTCTTAAAATATAAAACTTTTAAAAAAATAGTGTTTTTTAAAAAATACAGGGTCTTTTGTTGGAACAGAGGTGCTTTGTTGGATTCGTTTGAAGCTAGCAAATCATGCTGTATTTTTGTAAAATAATATTTTAGAAGTCTAAAAATAGCCTAAAAATATTGTGTCGTTGTTTTTGGAAAAAACCTAAAAAACTGAGGTGCTCTGCTCACTTTTTTCGAAGCCAGCAAAGCACCTTGATTTTTGCAAAAAACGAGTACCATAAAAATAGCTTAAAAATAGCCTAAAAATATGGCATAGGTTTCAACTCAAAATTGTCTAGGTGATCTGCTGCATTCACCAAATTAAACAATCACTTCTTATAAAATGTATTAATACCAAGAAAATTATTAACAATCGTTATTAATTAAAATTTAAAGAGCGTCAAACGTGTGCATAGGAACCCACGTCAATCATAAGTGTCCTTTTGATTTTTCCGTCTTCTACTCGTCGAGTGCATAATATGTGTGTGTATCCAAGATCCAAGTATCGCTTAGGCAGTGGCGGCGTCTTGAATATTGCACGAATCTAACAATATATTAAAAGGGGAATTCCCTTGGGTATTCCAATGAAAAAATCATCGACAGAAGAACTTTTTAATTTATATAATATATTTTATATTCCGAGTGTTCAAATTAAAATGTTAAATACAGCCGAAAATATGCATTTTTTACAAAAAAAAGTTTCAGTCAAAAGTTTTATAGTTTTTTGGGAGAAACATTTTGGCTAAATTAATTTTTTTTATAGCTGACCGTAATATGGACACATCGAGGTGGACTTTTTTTTTTTAATTGGAACCCCATTTTTTACATATTCTTAAAGTTTATAAAAAAATAAAAAAACTATTAAAGGAAACATTTTTTTCATTCGACTTCTACTTATTGAGTAACACCTACTGGAAAATGTTGCTGCTCGAAAAAAATGTCGACTCCGATTTGGCCATATTATGGTTAGCTATAAAAAATGAATTTAGCCAAAATGTTTTCCCCAAAAAACTATAAAACTTTCGTCTGAAACTTTTTATTATAAAAGGCGGTATTTTGCTGTAACACTTTAATTTGAACACCCGATATACTTTATGTACACAGCGCATAAATCAAATCGCAATAATCGCAAATAACTCGGTTAGCAGAAAGCCACTTCTAAATAATTATTTAAATCCTTATCGCTAAACGCCTAAATTTCCATTACGCATTTCCAGCAATAAAATACAATTTTACGGCCCAGTATATTATTCAAATCGCTCATTCTAATGCATGCATGAATCAATAAAGATACTTTTCCGTGGAGTCAGTGAATGTGGAGCTTTCGCAAAAGTTACAATTTAAGGCCAACGGACCAATAAAAGATTTTATACCTATAGTAAAGCGAATACAAACTCGGAAGGTGCTTATCGAGAAAACATTTTCAGTAATTCTTTTCTAAGGAGCAGCAGCCAAACAGGCGTGTGTGCGCCCGTTCATACTTTGTAAGTTAGTTTAGAAAGGGTCCATTACTTAATTCTATTTTGTTATTTTTAGAATTGAGAATTTAACAAAAGCAAGATCAACAATAGGTCCGATTTATAACACTATAAACTTTAGTGTATCGAACAGGGTGTCCCTAATAAATTGGGAAATACTCTTGGTTTTAACATTCTAGCATATATATTTCATAGAGTCCGCATTCAACAGCGTTTTTTGGGTTAAGAGGGGAAATGCGTGGACACTATTATCAGTGTCGCATCATTTTTACGGAGTTTGCAATTAATATAAATAATTTGTATGACTAAAGTAAGAAAATACAAAAAATGACTTATAAACTACAAAAATAGGCTAAAAATTAATAAAAATCAACAATTAAATGACACTTCTGACAATTTCGAACGATTTGACATGCCAAGCAAAACGAAACAGATCAATGGAAATGCTGTACAATATTTTTCCACTCTGTACCAAAACAAAGTCCATTTGGACGATGGCTCTAGTAATATATGCTCGAAGGTTTAAACCTAGTAAGCTTGGATATAATATAACTTAGCTTCTTGGTCCTGTATTGTATTCTCATCTATGTGCATATTTAATAGAGTGACTGTTTCTTTAGAAATGACATGTAATATTGAATAAATTGAGATGAGTTTGCTTAAGGATATGATTAGAAATATTTTCAGTTTATTGGCTTAATCACTTACATTTGATATTCTGTGTTGCTTTTGACATCTACTTAGTTTTTTAGTTTTGACTTCTTTGAAATAAAATTAATGGTCAAAAAGGAACTATGGAGATAAAATCCTTTCATATATCCTTCAGTCGCCCCATGAAACCAAAGAATTGCATTTTAATTTTACATGTCTAAACTAACAGGTATGTTATAACTTACAATGAATCATTGTTTTTGCAGTATGTACATTCTATCGTATTTGTATAGTGTTCTTTGCATATAAAACTTTAACATTTAGAACATTTTGTTGAATGTTTTACAACTTTGGATCTTGGACACATGGTACATCTCTGTCTTTTTAACTGTTGTTCATCACTATTATTATCTTCCGCTGGCTTTGGCACACTCAGTATATCAACGATTGTATGGCGCAATTTTCTTGAAAGTTTGTTGTTTTCCAGTCTGTTTACTAGGTGGTCATGAATGAGTTTCTTTCCCAGAGATATTCCATGTTCTCGTATTTTCATTTTTGAGTTTGGGTTAACTTCTTTGAAAATAACGTACGAATTAGGAATTGCGTAAAAAACAGTCAGCGGCCATCTAAGAGTTCTTCGATTACATTAGTAGCTTGCAAATTTCTAAAAACTCAATTATTTCAGGTTTTTGAGTGACTGGATCAATATCATCAGTGTGATGCATCGAAGAGACTAAAATAACAGCTTTATTTTGCTTAGGCACGTAAGAGACTAATTTCTGATCTCCAGTAAAATCAAATACTGCGGTAGCGACTTTTCGATTTTTGTACGGTAAAAATTGAGCTGGTATCTCCCTTTTGTTTTTTCTTACATAAGTGAGCTTTCGAGCTTTTAATTCATTTATCACCAGAATGGATATAAACCAGTTATCTCCAGTTACGTTCCTGTTAGTATTTTCAATTTTAGTACATCAATGGTGAGTACGTTAAATTTTTTTGTGTTGCCTTTTTGTCTTGAGACATTTTTTCCAGAGCACACGAAAGCATTTAATAAATAGTGAGTTTTGGAATCGCATAGGCACATTATTTTTAAGCCATATTTGGCAGGTTTTCTTTTCATATACATACGAAAGCTACATCTTCCTCGAAAGGCTACTAACATCTCATCGACAGTAGCATACTGCAAACATGAATAATTTACTTGACATATTTAAAAAAATTCTGAGACTGCAGTCAATTTATCACCATCAGCAATTCTGTCCTTCCGATTGATAGCGTCATCAAATCTTATTGCACTTAGAAGAAATAGAAAACGTTTTTGCGACATTGTGGCTCGGAAAATTAGTCTACCAGTACCATCTGTCGAGAAGAGGGATGTCACGTCTTCTCGTCCAGATTTGAATATCGATGTTAAATAAATAAGTCCCAGAAACACTTTCAGTTCAACTATAGATGGTCGACATAGGAGACGCGGTTA